GCACATAGTGGTTAGGCAAGGTACCAAGTACCTGCTGTCTGGTAACACTGCCACACAAATGCATCACAGGATAAGCAATTTCATTGTACAGACTGTGTGGCTGATTTGGTTAGTTCAATGATGGGCCAATGTCCTGATGGGCCAATGTCCTAAGTCAGCCTGACTGATGAGCCTAAATTCAACTTCCAATCGGAGGCACTTTTGGTTTTGTGTCTGTCACTTTCCTTAATTGAAGTGGTAGACTAAAGAGTTCAAGAACGGAAGAGTAGAGCTCTTTATTAGACTGGTTTTTCAGAAACTAACCCCATATTGGAAAAATCATTCAACTAGACACCAGTGCATGTGAATTATAGTTCTAGCTCTCATGACCTTTATTAACTACATGAGCACTTTTATATCTCAGGATCTCTCATTTTGCTTATATCAAATGAAGAGGTTAGGTACTGACTCCTGTCACCTATAAACTTCTATAAACTTCTGTAATTCATGGAGAACTTACATCATGACCAGTCCTATTGGTAATTTGGGAGATTACTCTTCGACTGTTGCTAAATCCCTCCATTTTGTTGAGTCTTTGAGGTCTTGCCTTTCAAATGGATCTGATAATTCCCAGCATGCCTAATTCATAGGACTGAGGATTCAGTGAGATATTAGGGGTTTAAGTGCTTTGAGTAATAACACATTGCATGAACACACATTATTCATATTGAAAGTTAACAGAAATGTGTTGAGTTTCTCACTACCTACCTCAGTACCCCTTTTAAAAAAAGAGTTAAAAGGCAGTTTGATCCCAGTTGGGTTTGTCCTGGGGTTTAAGGAACTCCTTGGGACTCTTCAGGGTCAATAGAGGCTTTGTCTGCCTGGGGGTCAGTTTCCCACAGAAGGGGTAGGATGGCCACGCTCTCTCCTGACAACATATTATCAAGGACAATCACCACACGAAATGCAGCAATTCCTTAGACAAAAGTGAGGTTTTGAGTTACGGTAGCCTCCTCTTTGTTAAAAGCCCCCTCCAAACCTGAGCTCTTGTCTGTAGCCACGCAGACATGCATGGTGTGGTTTACAGATGCCTTATACATTTAGCCTGACAAATCATCCCTCAAATTTGTGTGTGCTACGTATAACTCTGCCTCTCAATGAGGATATTTTTAACTCCTCCCAACTCTTTGCAGTTCCTTTAAGGAAGTGTGATTGAAGGGGTCAGACCCTTGGCTTCTACTTAGGGGTAAACTTTGAGAGAATTCCTTGAGGCTCTCCCTGGGGTAGGACAGGCTTTCCCCAAAACAATTGGCTCGCCAGAGTGTCTTTGCCTCATAAGGGCTTGAGCGAGGCCCTGGGCACCAGTTGACGGCTGTGTCTTGCCCACGACAGATGGTCAAGACTTCAGTTTCAGCAAATGATCTGCTGCTGAGGGGGTGGACAGGGGAGTCTGCCAGGAGGCCAAGTGGCGGGGCGGCTTAGGTAATGGGGATCTGGTGTGTGCCCGGCATAGCTTTTGTGCTAACGATGGGCTGCTGACAGGCTCCTCGCCCCTGTTCATCTCTGAGACAGAAGATCCCCTGTTCCCTTGATGCTGTTTCTCTCTGGCAGGGCTAGTGTCCTGTTTACCTATCTCTCAAAATCCACTTTGGCACCAGATGGGCCCCATCATGGTCACTAGCAGTTGTCTGACTTGAGGATTCCAGAGGGTGTGCTGACAGCTCCTCCTAACACAACCTGAATCTGGCTGTGCGGTCTGGGCTCAGATGGCTTAAACACACACAGGCGGCAAATATTACCAACTCCAGGGAAGCCACGGGGGTGGTGTGGGAGGACTCACTAGAGGAAAAGGGGTTGTGAGGGCCCCTGACATAACGGTCACAAAGTTGTTTTGGAAATGTGTATGCTAATCACGCCTCGTAGTGGCATCATTACTCCTGGTACGCTATTGGTACAACTGCTATCATAGTACGATTGCTATCAGTATTCATATCATTACTGCATTGCTTCTATTTTTACTAATACTGCTGGTAGCATAGTGGTTAACAGCACACTCTGGAGCTGCACTGTCTGAATTTGAATTTGAGATTTGCGTATACTCACCTTTGGGCAAGTTACAGTATTTAACTTCCTTGACTCTATTCTCATCAGCAAAGTAGGACTGATGGCAGAGGTTATCTCTCAGGACCTAGTGGAAAGACATGCTTGAAATTCTTAGTACTGTACTCAGCACATGGTCAGCACCTAACCCATGGAATCCATTTTTGGGGGCCACCATCATCATGTTTACCCTGTATTAGCTACTATATATTTATTATCTTATTCATTTGCACCATTGCCTTGTAAGGTGGAAACTTATTGTACTCATTTTATAGATAAAAAAAAGTCCAGGTTCTGTTCCATATGCAAAATCACACTGGTAGCACCTGGCAGAGTTAGGGTATGACTTCTGTTCTGAGTGTTTCTAAATATGGTGTTCTGCACCACACCGCATCAATACTCATTGTCTATTTAGTGAGGATCAGCCCTTTCTGGGACCTGGGGTGTCTTTCAGATATGCCATTTTAACTAGCTATGCTTGAAAGAAGCAACTGGTTTTCACATCTGAGGTCTCTTTGGATATAGAATTGAGCCCTCGGAATAGGGGGACTCTGCTGCCACCTCTGCCACAGTAGATAGTTTCTAGAAGCTATGCATGACAAGTAGCGTCGTCTTCTCAGTGCTCAGAGAAATGAGACCAGGCAAAGGCATTAGGATTTTGACCACACCCTCAATCTCCTTTCCTTTCTGGATCTACCCTACTGAGGAAGGACTTAAGTCGGTAGCTGTAAGTTGGCCCATGAAGTGGCAGTGTGGGTTCTGGTCCCAAGAAATAGCCTTCATTGTACAGCTGGATTTCAGAAGTACCCTATGAATCATTTAACTTGGACAAAAAGTTGATAACTTTGTTCTCTGTGGAGAGAACCCTGAAGTGGGGGCCAGTAATTATTCAGAGTCCTTTCATTGATAGATTAAGGTTGCATCATATTGAGCCAGTCTAGGAAGATGTTTCTATTTTAAAATCTTATTTTTTTGGTTTAAAAGTCTTTTTTTTTTCTCTTTGAAGAATTATTCCCCAACCATATGTCCATCTTGGCAGATTCTAAGGGCTCAGGTGGGATAGAAGTTGATCTGGACTTTTCACATATTAGTATTCAGAAATACTTGGTGTATCTTTGTGTAATGCTCTTATAGAGGACTAATGGGGTTGACTTTGTGCTTAGTGCAAAATTCAGATGAAGGCATCATGGATTGAGAGTTTTTCTTAGTTACTTTTCTCATTGCTGAAACAAAATACCCAACACCCAAAGTTAAAGGAAGAAAGATTTATTTGACTTACACTTTTTAGAGATTCAGTGCATCATTGGCTGGCTCCAAGGCATGGCAGAGGGGCGTCACAGAGGAGAAACAGTTCCTGGTGGGCAGAAAGCAGCAACACAGGAAGGTAGCAAGCAACAAGAAACAGTAGCAGCCCTCTTTGTGTCCCTTATTTTCTATCCAGGTTACCCTCCCTTAAGGCAGGTAACACTCACAGCCAGAGTGGGGTGGCCTTAATCCTGGCACCACACCATGCATCAATACCACCATCACAGCCTTCATCCCAGTATCACGCATTCTAGATCCCATCATCTCTGAAAAGCCTCACCTATGACCACATGATACTTTGGGGGGACATCTAGACACAAGCCACCACAGAGTTCTTCACAAATTACTTGAATTGAATGAGAATGTTACTCCAGTGCATATCTGAAAGAGAGGGAAATCATGCTGAAGAGAAGAAAATTCCTACAAGAATTGAATCAACTAACATTTAATGTATATTTCTGGGAAGTATTTAGGTTAGAAATTCATAGGTACTTCTAGATCTAAACATAAAAAGGATCACGAACTCATATAGCCTTAAAACTCCTTTTGTTAAAAAAAAATTACCAAACACAAAGCAGTGGTTTAATTGCAGGAAGCCAACATGAATGCCTTCCCATGATATTTCCCCCACAGTGTTGCAGATTGAACCCAGGGCCTTCCCAATGGGGGACAATCTCAGTTGTTTTTGTGTTATTTATTTTGAAACAGGGTCTTACCAACTTCCAAAGTTGCCCAGGCTATGCTTGAATTTGTGATTTCCTTGTCTCAGCCTCTCAAAATGCTGGAATTACAGGTGTGTGCCATGACACCTAGCTAACATGATCCCTTTCTTACCTGCCACCTTTCTAAATGGACATCAGCAAGTACAATACAGTTACATAGGGAATAACTCAGAAGATTACAATGTATCACCCGAGACATTTTTGAGAATTAAAGTAGCTGCTATTAATTCTATACTAGTGCAGCTAAGATTTTTCTTGTGAAGTTGGAACTTTTGGTCACTTTAGCAAGTAAAAATCCATGGAATTCATTATAGAACCAATTTAGAAAGTGTCGGCAAGGCAGCAAGGTTCTTATTCCATCACAAATAGCAGGAAATCTAATAAAAACATCTAGCAACTATTTGAGAAGTCAAAGAGACTTAGTTAACGTGTGAACTTCTTCTCTGGGCACTATTAATTGGAGCATTTTATTTGGAGATGCTAAAATAAAAAAAGTGTTCATCATATATTTATAAAGCATGTATTTTTCCATTCATCACCTGTAAATTTGTGGGACTGAAAGTACATGTCATAATTTAGGGATCCTGAGTATTCTTGGACAATTAGAGCCAGTTGGAACCTATCTTAAGCCATGGTGGAAATCTTCCCTTTTCTTGCGAACTTACATTTTTGTGAGATTTGTTGGAAGTACCAAGACTATTTCTTCATAAGGAAGGTCCAGTTGGGATGCAAAACTTGGACTAAAGCCTCAAACAAAATATCAACTCTAACGTCATTGTGAATGTTTCAGCAAATGCATAGAAAATCGAATGCACGACTCAGAAGTGACTTCCCAATTTGTTGCCTCTTGCATGAGGACGGAAGTGTTAACAGTGATCATTTGTCTCTTGACAGGTTCTTCTTGAAGTTTTTCCTCAAATGCAACCAAAATTGCCTAAAGAATGCAGGAAACCCACGTGACATGCGGAGATTCCAGGTGGGTCAGTCTGGTCTTTCTTAAATCTTACTAATGACTTGTGTATCGAGAGGGGTAAAATCTTAGGCAAAAGAAGAATTGGAGTTGTTTCCCCGGAGGTGAAGCGCAGGTCCCCGGGGCGTCTGCTCTTTAGGAGGTTTTTATTTTTATTCACTAGGAATTGGGCCTGAATCACCTGTGTTTTCTAGTCCAGACAAAAATGTCCTTGAAGTCCAGTTGGAACTTCCTAAATGTACTCTCCTGACGTAACACCCAGATTCAGTAAAGCATATAAAAATGATGAATTTTTTTCTGAAAGTTTTGTAAGCAGAAAACTAATATATAAGAGTAAAACTGTTAAAATAGAAAAACCAAAAAACAACAACTCTGGCCCCTTCTTTTTCTTTCTACTCTCCTTGTACAGTCTTGGAAATTGGTGGCAGCAATGCCCTATTACAAATGGACTCTCTGAGAAATAGAGTCTGTGCAAAGCCATGTGGGTGACCTTAGTTCTCTTTCAGAAGTGTTCTCACTCGGCATCTAGAAATGCTCCCAGGCCTGCCACCCTTTACGGTGTGAGTGGTGTGTTCATGTCACTGTGTAGTACCTTTATAAAAGGAAAAAGATCCAAAAGCAAATGTGCTAATGTCTATAGCACAAAGTGTTTGTGGGTTTTAGGAAAGGTGACTAAACTCTAGACACTGTAACTCTCTGACTTAAGGTGCAAGGAATGTGCTGGGGATTTTAGTGAAATACTGATTGAGGTCTGGGATGGGACTGGAATTTCTAACAAGCTCCCAAATGATGCCGAGACCATGGGCCACACATTGAGGGGTGAAGTTATAGACTCTTGCATGGCTGTCCATCTAATTTTGTGGCTAACTTATTTGCATGATCGATGTTAGTTTCCCATTACTCTGTTGTGTGCTTGTACAGTCCATCAGAGCAATAGCACAGTGCTTAAAGTATGCTCTTGTGTCCATTTAGTAGGCTTTAAGTGCAGATTGCAGTGTATGATCTGTGAGAGATTCCTGAAAAGTTTTAGTTGTGTGTAGTCTCTGAAGGGATTTTTAAAAAAAGAGATGAGACTTATTAGCTTTACTGAAGAATAAAATCAACGAGAAAAAGACCCAGTCTCTTGAGTTTCTGTGATACTTTCATAAAAATCATCTTGGCTTCCCCTACTTTTTGTCTTAACAGAAATAAATCGGGGGGACCCCGAGATTTCTAGTTTCTCTGCTGGCCACTTCCTGATCCCAACTTTGTAGACATAGAGTGCTTGAAGCTCTCCACAGGACTGTGGTGAGCAGGAGTCAGCTTGGCAGTGAAGCTGGTGAAATCACATGTGTGGCACTAACCAAGTCTGTGCTCCTCAGTGTCTTGCAATGTGTTGGGTTTAGTATGCACTGTTTTGTGGCTTGCTTTGGTCTTAGAATGAGCCATCCTTCTCTTTTGACCAGGTTCGGGTTAGGAGGAGCTGAGCAATGAAGTGGGCCTGACGCAATGTATACCTACTAAACATGTCTCATGCCTCCAGTACCAGGATCAGCTTTGCTGCTCTTCTCAGGCAGTAAAACTGAGATGGACTTTTGCCACATTGGGAACCTAAATGAGCTTTTGTATAGCATTGTTTAAGACCCAGGGAAACACTTGAAAGTCTTGAGTTATAGGAAAAGAGCTTTTATAAAAGATGAGAAGTTATTTCAATCTATTCTTTATGAGACAGTCTAGAAAGTTTTAATTTTGCACATAGATTTGTTTAGTAGAAAGACTACTAAAATAAGGAGGTACAAGTTGTATTTCTAAAAAGTCATATAATCTTTCAGGGCCTCTGTTTCCTCCATTCCAAGGTGAAGGTACAGGGGCACCTTGATTCATGAACTTAATTCTTTCCCCAATTCTGGTCATAGAATTTGTTCCATGATGCACACTATGCTTGCAATTCAATTGCAACCAGTATTGTGCAATGAATTTTGCAACCAGAATTGTGGAAAGAAAGAAGTTCATGTACAGAGGCACCTTTTAAAATGATGATTCTGAAGGGGAACATTTCAAGTGAGTGTAGAAGTAATTCCAAAAGATAAAATGTAAATGTAAACCTTTGAAGAAAAAACCTTGTAAACTGAAGACTAGGGTTTCTCAACTTGGGCGTAATTGAGATTTCAGACTGGATAATCTTCAGGATTTGGATGAGGGGTGTGGTGTTTATCCTGTGCATTGCAGGATGTTTATAATATCACTGGTATCTACTCACTAGCAGATAGCAGTAGAGAACAGCCCCCTTCCCTGCTACGACAACCCCAAACGTCTCTTTGCTAATTATCTCCTCATGGAGAAGAAAAAACAACTTCTGGTCCTGTATTATAGCTGGTGACCTCTTACAAACTCTTAGTAGCCCAAGAATGCGACCTTCAGACAGATATGATTTATCTGAACCCTGACAATGCCTGTGATTCTCAACAATTCCAAAAATATTTTTAGTAGGGGAAGCTACTTCGGCTACTACAAAGTCAGCTTTTGAGTTGAAGAAGAGGTACCTCACTGTCAGGGATGATGGATTCCTTCTTGCATCTCAAGTTCAATTGCCTTGTCCCCATCCATCACTCACTACCTCCCAGAGCGGACAGATTAACCCTGCGGCAGGATGAACTCTCATTTGATATTGTATCTCTACATGTTCACACATTTCTTCAATTATAATTTTTATGCAACTAACATTTGGTCTGATGTATGTAAGTCGAGGGACATTCATACAAACAGAAAGTAGATGGATTGACTTATACAGTTGGACCAAGCCTCAGATATCCCTCACCCAGGCTTTTAAGTTTTTCCAGTCTTTTTCTTTTCATGACTATTTACTGCCCTGTTCCTCTGCATCATTTCATGCTATTGGCCATTCCATCCTTCAGGATTCCATCTTTTCCCTGTGGATTTAATGACGCCTTTCATTCATTCTCCCCCCACCCCACCAGGATGCCATCTGTCTGCCCTCCTGTAAGTGTTGGTATTTCCCACCTTTCCTTCAGACATCCAGAACTTTTCTCACTTACAGCTGTGCTGAGTATCTTTCTGTTGCTATGCCACTGCTGTTTGTGCCCTGAAGATTCTGGGGGTTGGATCTTCAAGACCTGTGCTTAGGTTCAGCTCTGGCCATCCACATGCCTGTGGGAGAACTCCAGCAACTTCACCCCAGAAGTCCCAAACTGAACTATTGTCATTCTCACTTTTTTCCCTCCACATTAAGCTGGTGTTTCCTCCATCCTCCTTGATTCATTGCATTGGCTCATTTCTAATTTTGCTAAGTGCTGGGCACATGACTATCGGTGTCTACATTCAGTGTGTTGCATATTCATGTGACATGTGTCATGTGACTCCCTCTGTGTATACTCAAGGATATTGGTGGTGATGATGATAAAACTAACATTCACTGAATATTTTGGGAGAGGCATTTCACGGAGTATTTTATATGAATTACATTTATCACCCTCTTAGAAGCATGCAAACATGGATGATTTCCATTTCACAAATGAGGAAACATACTCACTGCTGTTAAATCATGCGTTCAAAGTTGCACACATATGTGATGGTGAGGCTATGGTTTAACCCAAGCAGTCTGACTCGGATACTGTCTAACACTTCGGAACAGTAAGGAAATTGAACAGAGTTTGTAGGCAGGGATACAGGGAAGCAATAAGAAGAGCTCTTAACACTTGAGAGCCATAGAGACTACTTAAGGAATAGCTCTTGAACCTCCCAGAAACCTTGAGAGGGGCTTTCCAGAAGGCATTTGCTATAAGACAGCCTCAAGCTGCATCCACCTGAAGAACAGTCACACACCACTGCAGCCCATCAAGCAGAGGCGGAGACGTGTGGAAGGGAACTGGCCTGGGCACTGTTGCAGAACAGAGTGGCAGAGCAGGCTGTTTTCACTTGCAGGCACTTTGGGTAAGAGAGCTCTCTTTCAGCAGGCAGCTTGGGTGTCGATTCACCTAGGGAGGTTTGGGAAGCTTCTTCAGACAGGAAATCCCACTTCCTTAATGGGATGTGAGTGAAGCAGCCCTCAGACACCTCAGAGGACCCTGTTGAAAAATCATGCACACCTGTAATCCCACCACTCTGGGATGCTGAGGCAGGAGTTTCACAAGTTCGAGCCCAGGCTGGGCAACTTAGCGATTTAGTGGGACCCTGTTTCAAAATAAAATTAGTCAATCAATAGAGAGTTCTGAGGATATGGATCAATACCAAGACCTTGGCTTCAGTCTCCAGAGTAGGAAAAAAATCATACTGGGATTCCTAGGTCTTCGAATTGAGCAAGAGAGGGAGTTTTCCCCACAGCTCTCCTGGCTATGCCATTTGCTGAAGATGTCTTATGAAAACAGTATATATTTTCATGATTTTCCTCACAGCACATGAATTGAGAAACTGGTTTCAAATACTTTTATGTCCCTATTGCCTTGCATGGGGAGTCAGACAGTGTCTTTTTGGGGATGCAACACTTTGGGTCTACTCTTACCCTGTCCAACCCAGCTTCTCAGACATCTGATGGGAAGCACCCTCCCCTGCCTATTAAGTGGCTCTCTCCAGCTGTCACTGTCGCCCCTTCTGTTCCATCCCATTCTGTATGCTTTCCAGGCCAACCTGATCTTCACACAGCAATGCAGAGCGTGTCTCTTCTGAACAGCAATCAGGGGCCTGTGTAGGTGACTGAGAAGGACATAAGAAAGGTTGTTGATCCCCTGACATGTAAAGACATTCTGTCAAGCAAACTCAGCCTCACAGCAGCTGGGTTTCTGGTATGTAAACAGAGACTGCTTAATTACACAGGTCATGTCAATTAGTGTGACCTGAGTGTTTTCAAGAAATTAATCACTTTCTGCAGAGCTTGGCTGTGTTCATACTTTAAGACAGTATGGAATAAACCTTGTAGAAAATCTGGTCCAATCTTTTTTTAAAAACTTATAATGAATGTTTTCTTTTGAAATCCCTAGGTTGTAATAAGAGTAAGAACAAACTCGCTCAAA